TTCACAATTTTTTATATATATTTATTTTTTATTTAAATGTGCTTATATATTTTGGGTGTAGCGCTACATTCTTTTTTATAAGTATTTTCAACATGAAACCAAAATCAAGAACACAGGGAACATGACCTTAAACTAACTGGAGGAAAGTTCAAAACTAATCTCTGAAAGTACTATTTTACTGAAAGCGTAGTTGGTGCTTGGAATAAACTTCCAGCAGAGGTAGTGAGCCAGTCAACAGTAATTAGTTTCAAACATGTTTGAGACAAGCATAGATCTATACTCAGACAAAAAAAAGTTAACAAAAAAAACACAAAATAAAAACAGAAAATGTACTAATTACACTGAGTGATTAAAGGGGGTATTTCATTTTATTTCTACACAGGGGCTTGGTGCATGATATAGTCAGTAATTTTGCACTAAAAAGATGCCGGAATTGCATTGGCGCAGGATGTGTGCTACCTAATAGTCTATTCTATTTAACCAAATGCTCAGGCACTCTGATAACATGAAAGCATGATTTGCCATAGGGCAGAGGTGCACTGTGGCATCTGCACCTTGTGTATCAGAGAATTTTGACCCTTGTTTAGAAATATTTCATACAAAAGCATGTATAATTCAAAGCAAGCCTTTCAAGAATGAATAACGTCACCTACAGTTGTAGCATAGTGTGCTACAATACGAGTTCAATGTGGTTTAATGTGATAAAGACACAGGAAAAATGAGCAATTTGTTCACACATTGTAGATCCCAACAATTAACTTTTGAAAGATTGCACAATAACATAGTAGCCCTTTTGTTAAAATGTATATAATATACAAGTTGAGTTCATACAGTATTTGTACATTTTCAAAGAGTCAGAAGATATATTGTTGTAACGCACCTGCTGTGTTGCCAGTACCTAAATCCTTCAGAACAAAGGCATAAGTGGATTTGCAATGGTGTTAGGTAAAATGTAACAAGATGCTCACCACTCTCTCTTGCTGTCATAGATTGCTCTGTGAAATGCTTCTGTAAAGTATACTTTACATTTACTTTTACTACTGTTCATTTTACATTTACTAATGTTTACTGACACTAGCTGTAATGTAACAGAGGGATTACCTTTCTTTTCTTGGAAAGAGTCCCTTCTCGTGTTCCTCCATATATTTTATTGTGGATTGTGATGGATGTATGAGTCTTTCTGGTATTCCAGAGTATAGTGGTGGTTTGTGTCATGTTTTGTAGCCAGTGTTTTATGACCAAAAGGAAAAGCACAAGCACATCATTCTTTACATACAAATGCACATACCCATAGACATAACATGATTGTTGAATTTCAACCAATCCATGTGTTTGGGTAGAAGCAGCATGCTGTAGACGTGCTCAGCCAACTATTTTTGGTGGAAATAATAAACAGCCAGGTTAGGTTTTTCTGAAAATTATTTCCTGAGATTATGGCACAGGTATCTGGCTGACAATTTTGTATGTTTAGTTTTTTTCCTCCTTTCTAGTTAGTCATTAAAAGTGTTTGAATGTTTAGTTTTGTATTTTAAAAAAAAATCTCTTTTTTAGGGACTACTGAATCGGGAATCACGTTTAGGGGGAGCATATCTGTCCAGAAATCAGTCACTGGAAGAAGAATTTGAAAGGGCGAAAGCTGCAGTTGAGGTAAAGTTTTATGTGCAATTCATGCACAATTATTATTATTTTTGAAATTATTATTATTTAAAAAAGATCTTTAGCTTATTTTTACAGTTCCTCTTATTATAATTCTCTCCTCCTACAACGTAATTGGGTAAAAAAAAAATATTTTTTTTGCTCTCCCTATACCTTTTTTTTTAATTGTCCTGCTCTATTTCCTTTTTTTTACTAGGTGAATGATGTAGCATCTATTCTGTCGACTCCTGGGAGTTCAGTGTCACAAATCCCAGGAATCTTCAGGCACCATTTTTTAGTTATTGCGAGATTTCTGTCCTCAAAAGGAAGGAAGAGAGTAGAGGAGAGCAAATGCTATAGCTTCCCTGTTGTTTAGAGGTTGCTACAACTGCAGGAGAAATTTTTTGATGGCTCTGCCTTTGCTATAGCAACCTGCACACAAAAACTTTGTGGCACTGTGTGCATAGTGCGCAGGCAAGTGATTTAACAGTTCATCATGAGTAGGATACTGCTGCTTATCCTGGAAGAGAACAGGCACTGGGCACAGCTGCCCTTACTGAAAATGGCAGTGGACAAACCCCAGTTGAGTGCTGTGCTAATAATAGTCTGATTTGGAAATACACACTTCTTTTAAAAAATAAATCCCTAAATATCATTACTAATACTAATTTGTTTTCTTAACTTTTATTTTTTGACTGAAGTTCCTTTTTAAAGTACTTTTTTTTTTTTTTTTATGAAAAAGCCCTATGAGTTCTCCCACTGCCCTTTAGATGTTATACCAAAAATCAGACCCAGTTCAGCTCTCCTTTTTAGCTCTATAAATGCAAACACTGCCCAGCACAGCAAATAGCCAGGCAATGTACAGTGCTACTATGCTACTTCTGTGGTCTAAGTTTTGGCATATTTATAAGGAGGTGTGAAGGAAGCTATACAGGTATGTTCATACAAAAGTACACCCAAACTTTAAAACATTATATTATCTGCGTTCCAGTCCCAGACCTTACCAAAAGTATCAGACATTCATCAACCTCCTAGTTGCTTACTACTGCAATATGTCTGTAACAATCTGATTGTTATCAATTGATTGACTGTACAATGAAACTGTACGTTGTGACTGTCTCTGTCAGTCTAGACTTTAAAATTTTCACACTTACACATTTGTTTTAAAAGTACTGCTTACTACATACCATATAAACTAGGCCTAGATGTGCCTTCATCTCAAACTGTCCTACTAACTGGACAACCTCAACATGAGCTTCCGGAATTGGAAAGAGCCATTCACCTTCAACCACAAATGTTTTGTCTGTTTACAAACATTTTTATTTATTAAGAAATAGGCTGCAAAAACATAAGGTATACCATACAATAGAAAAAAAGGCACATCTGTAATTTTTCATTCCAATAAGGTACACTTATGTAGAACATAAAGGTTAAGTACATGAGCAAGGTAGGCAGGGAGGTAGTCAGAGCAATAAGTCCACCAACAGAAAGATACTATCAATTAAATTATGAATGTTTATTGGGCAGACAGTAAGGGGTTTATTTACTAAAGCTGGCGAGTCCAAAATCAGACTCCCTTCTGCATAGAAACCAATCAGCTTCCAGGTTTCATTGCCAAAGCTTCATTGAACAAGCTGAGGTTAGAAGCTGATTGGTTTCTATGCAGAAGGGAGTCTGATTTTGGACTCTCCAGCTTTAGTAAATAAACCCCTAAATGTCTACGAGTTTTTTTTATGGGATTTTTTAAAAATTCAATTAGAATAAAGAGACGTAGATCATGTTCATTTTGCAAACTCACTCTTTACTTTACAAATTGAAATGTCACTTAGCTTTAAATGATGTAAAGCCAAACAAAATTTCACTTTGCAAAGAATATCCAATTGTATGCAAAGGAAAAAAATGAAATTTTGACTGCACATGATTGGATGATGAAGTGAGCACAGTGTTGCCTCTTTTACTTAAGCTAAATGAAAATTTACTTAGTACAATGAATATAGCCACTTTTTTTTTTATAAATCAACTCTACTGCTTCCTTCTAAGTGGTTAGTTTCCAGCACCATGTCTAGGCATTCTGTGAAATCTTGTTCATTTTTCCTTTTCCTTAACATGTCTCTAATATTAGTTACTGGAAAGATATTATATCATTTTTGTTATATGCTATAACCTGTCTCAATCCCTCTAACTGACCCAAAGTAACAGTTTAAGCACTGCATGAACAAAAAGCATTGAAAAATATGCAGTGCTTTGTTTCTTTGTTAACTTAGTGTGATAATGTTTAGGTTGGTTATTAAAAAAATTAAATGAATGAACCAATGGTTCAGAATTTTTCAGAAATAATGCCTTATTTCCAGAATAGCTGCAGACCAAATAGAAGAAAAACATAGATAGAGACAATGTTTGGGTTAATGCATTGCTTCAAGCTAGAAGGGACACTGTTTAAAATAAATATGAGAAAATGGTTTCATGGTAGCATAAAATTGAATGTGATAAGGCAAATCTGCTAAAAGACCAGAGCAATTTTCATCAAAAAATTATGCATGAGTATAATGTGTAAAAATGGGGAAAGGAGCTGAGGAACAAAAGAATACTTGTGCACCATAAAGTTGTTGTTTCTTTTTTCAAAGCTAAATTGACTAAAGTGGACATGCACTATAGTACCCCCCTTTCAAAATCTGAACACTTCGTTCTTAGTAAAATAATAGGTGGTAAAAGATATGCAGTTCTGTCTTTCTTACGAAAACTTTCATCGATCCCCCAGCAGTGGAAGTAAGAGGCAGGAGAAGTTTTGATAGGAGAGCAAGAGGAATGTTTGTGAAGATAGAGGAGGATTGATGGATTAGAGGAATTTACAGTTTTATTGTTTTAGAGGAGAGAAGAAGAAATATAGCAGAACTGATGACAGTTTGCATAAGGAAAGATGTTTGTGAGGCAGCTGGTGCTGATGTTTAATGTATATTGAGGGAATGTAAGACATATAGAATGTCCTACAATCCTTCCTCTCTTTAACCACTAGCCTACTGGGCACTTCTACCCCCTTCCTGCCCAGGCCAATTTTCAGATTTCAGCGCTGTCACAATTTGAATGACAATTGCACGGTCATGTAACACTGTACCCATATGACATTTTTATCATTTTTTTGAGACAGATAGAGCTTTCTTTTTGTGGTATTTAATCACCTCTGGGTTTTTTATTTTTTGCTAAACAAACCAAAAACCACTGAAAATTGTGAAAAAAAAACAACGTTTTTTCTTAGTTTTTGTAAATAAGTGATTTTTCTCCTTCACTAGTATGCGCTAATGAGGTTGCAGTGATGGGCACTGATAGGTGGCACTGATGGGCACTGATGAGGAGGCACTGGTAGGTGGCACTGATGGGCATTGACAGGCATCACTGATGGGCACTGAAAGGCAGCACTCATATAATCACTGATAGGCGGCACTGACTGGCACTGATAAGCTGCACTGACTGGCACTGATAGGCGGCACTGACTGGCACTGATAGCCAGAACTGACTGGTACTGATAGATGGCACTGACTGGCACTGATAGGTGACACTGAAAGGCAGCTCAGATGAGCACTGATACGTGGCATTGATGTGCACTGGTAGGCACTGATATGTGGCACTGATGGGCACTGGCAGGTGGCACTGATGAGCACTGACAGCTGGCATTGATGGACACTGACAGGTGGCACTGCTGGGGCTACACTGATCATCAGGTCACACTGATGTAGTGAGTTCCAGAGGATGGGGGAATGGGGATGGAGGATGGGGGAAGCCCTAGAGAAGTCCTGGAGACGGGCGTGGGAGGAGGAGACCAGGAAGCTGGAGAGTAGGAGGTCTTGTGAGGAGCGGAGAGTGCGTTTTGGGTGGTAGATGGATATGAACAGCTTTGTACGTCAATGTTAATATTTATAATTTTATGCGTTGGGCAATCAGAACCCAGTGGAGGGATTGGCAGAGGGGGGTGGCGGATACAGAGCGGTTGGTAAGGTGGATGAGTCTGGCCGCAGAATTCAGGATAGACTGAAGAGAGGATAGCCTGTGTTGGGGTAGGCTGGCGAGGAGGGAGTTACAGCAGTCAACTCGGGAGATGATAAGGGAGTGAATTAGTTGCTTTGTAGTTTCAGGAGTTAGGAACGTGCGTATTTTGGAGATGTTGCGGAGGAGGAGTCTGCATAAATTTGTCAGCGATTGGATCTGGGGCTGGAAAGACAGATTGGAGTCTAGAATGACACGTAGTACTCTGGCTTGCGGGGTGGGGCTGATGGTGGCGTTGTTAGTCGTGATGGTGAGGTCAGGGGGGGGGGGGGGGGGGCGCGGGCTGGGGGGAAAACTAGGAGCTTGGTTTTGGCAAGGTTTAATTTGAGGAAGTGGAGTGACATCCAATCTGATATGTTGTTCAGAAGGCTAGTGATTCGGGCGGAGACTGAAGGAGTGAGGCGAGGGGTAGAGAGATACATTTGAGTGTCATCAGCATAGAGATGGTAGTTGAAGCCGTGGGAGTGTATCAGTTGACCAAGGCAGGAGGTGTAGATGGAGAAGAGAAGGGGCCCGAGGACAGAACCTTGGGGGACCCCAACAGAGAGGGGGAGTGAGGGGTAGGTGGCAGCGTTATAGGTAACACTGAAGGAGCATTGAGATAGGAAGAGAGCCAGGAGAGAGCGGAGTCTCTGAGGCCAAAAGAGTACAGTTTTTTGAGCAGGAGGGGGAGGTCAACCGTGTCGAAAGCCGCGGAGAGGTCGAGGAGTAGTAGCACTGAGTAGTGGCCATTGGCTTTGGTGGTTAGCAGGTCGTTAGTGAGTTTGAGTAGGGCGGTTTTGGTGGAGTGTAGGGGACGGAAGCCAGACTGTAGGGGATCAAGGAGGTTGTTGTCGGTGAGGTGGGAGCTTAAGCAATTATAGGCTAAGCGCTCAAGGAGTTTGGATGAGAATGGCAACAGGAAGATGGGTCTAAGATTGTTTAGGTCGGTAGGATCCAGGGAGGGTTTGTTTAAGTATGGGAGTGATGTGCGCGTGCTTCAGGGGGGGAGGAGAATGTGCCAGTAGAGAGGGAGAGATTAAAGATGTGAGTGAGGGAGCGTAGGATGGAGGAGGAGGGAGATCGTAGGAGTTGTGAGGGGACAGGGTCAAGAGGGCAGGTGGTAAGGCGAGCTTCAGAGAAGATCTTAGTGACCTCTTCAGTGGTAGCAGGGTCAAAGGAGTGGAGTGTTGAGGGGGTTTTAGTGTGCAGAATGTGAGGTGGGGTGGAGGTCTGGACAGTGGCGATGTCGAAGGAGAGGAGAGGAGTGTTGAGGGGGTTTTCGTGTGAGGGATGCTAGGTGGGGCAAAAGTCTGAGCAGTGGTGATGTTCCTGCAAATTGCGTCGATCTTGCTTTGGAAGTGGTTAGCAATCTCGTGGGCGGTGAGTGAGGTACTGGGTGGAGGTGGGGGCAGAGAGAGCAGAGAGTTGAAGGTGGAGAAGAGCCGGCGAGGACTGGAGGAGAGGGTATTGATGAGGGTTACAAAGTAGGCTTGCTTGGCAGTGATCCTCAGGGGGGATTGGAGAGAATAGTAGGATGCAGTGGGCCTCAAATGAGGAGAAGGATAGAAAGGGAGGGTTAGGGGGGACTTGGAAGGTGCTCTGCGGTGACAGGAGCATACCAACCCCACCACCTTTTCGACAGGTGAGTGGGTCCAGGTGAGTGGGTCCAGGTAAGACCTCCATAGGAGAGTGCTGCAGGGGAGGTAGAGTCGGTGGTTTGGATCCAGGTTTCGGTGGTTGCCAGGAGGTTGAGGGAGCGGGAGACAATGAGGTCATGGATGGCGGTAAGTTTGTTGCAAACCGAACGGGCGTTCAGGAGTGCACACGAAAACAGAGTGGTGGTTTTAGGGAGCAGGGGGACTGGTATTAAGTTAAGGGGATTGCGGCAGTTCATGGAAGTAGGTAGGTGCCTTGTGGGTGAGTGAGGTGGAGGAGGACCAGGGTTTTGAGAGATGTCCCCTGTGGTTAGAAGGAGAAGAAGGGTAATAAAAGTGGCATGGGAGCGGGATGTACAAGAGCATGTGATTCTACCATTGGTGGCATTCGGGTCAGTGGGGAGAGTGGAGTAACAGGAGGAGGTGGTGAGAGCCATAGAGGGGAGATGGAAGCAGTGAGGGTGCAATGTATAGTTGTTTGGGAGGAGCGGGGGGATAGAGAGAAGAGATTTTGGGGACGGAGGAGAAGAGTTCGAGGAGGAGGAGTACAGGTGGCATTTTAGGGAGGAAAACTAAGTGGTGGACAAGTGAGGTGGAAAGTCTCTCAGGGCACTTGGTTGTAGACAGTCGGCGTGTAGTGCCATATCTCGTGGCTGTACCGTTCCATGACAAGAGTTCTCGTGCTTAGGATCAGGGTGGGTAGAGTTCCGTTTGGCCAGTTGTGGTCAAGGGTAGTCAAGTTGCAAGTTCCAGTTTGTGTCAGGCCCAGGTGGAGGGGTGAGGTTTGACTTGAGAAGATGCAGGGTGGGCGTCAGCAGTGGAAGTATTTCTGGGGGTCGTCGGATGGGCTTCGGGTCAGGGCAGGGTTGCGCCGGGGTAGGCGATGGTAGGCCTCGCCAGGTCGAGATCATCTGTTGGGCTTGAGGAGATGCGAGGTGGACATCAAATGGGCTGCGGGTCAGGGCAGGGTTGTGCCGGGGTAGGCGATGGTAGGTCTCAGCAGGTCGAGATCGTCCGTTGGGCTCGGCAGGTCCGGGGTTTATTATCAAAGCTGAACCGCGCAAGCTGAAGTTACAACCTGATTGGCTACAATGCTCAGCTGCATCAGATTTTGCACTCTCTAGTTTTAGTAAATCCCCACCAAAGTGTCAATGATGAGGCCAACTATGCCCACCGCTACTTGATCTCTGATTGATTGTTCAAGCCCCTTGACTGTCTTTTCCAATGCCCAGGTGCAAAAATCTTCATAGCACCGCTTACCTTAGCAACTGACACCAAATCTCTACACTCTGTCCCAGCTATATTCCTACCACATGCAATAGGATAATGGCTTAGAACTTCTATCGCAAGTAAAATAAACCATGTATGTACCTCAGAACAAATGCTGTAGCCGCAAATTTGTGGTAATTAACTTGTGCAAAGTTCATGTGCCAGGGTATGCTATAGAATTTTCACTGTAAAGGACTGTGGTCTGTGGTGCAGTAGAGAATAGCACTGTGTGGTCACTAAGGTATGGAGAATTTTGGTGCTGAGACACACTCTTTGAGATCTGTGTTCTGAAAGCAGTTAAATGTGTGTGGCACATTATTATTATTATTATTATTATTATACAGTATTTATAAAGCGGCAATGGTTCGCTCAGCACTGTACATTACAAAGGGGGACAGAACATGTGACAGAACAATACCAATACAATGCAAAACATGAGGGCTCGAGGGCACATGTAGTATATTCACACTAAACTGTGCAAGGAGAAATCCTAACAGGTCAGATACACAGAATGTAAATGGATACTAACATTTATAGGTAAAGTTGATCCAGGGAATATCGGATTGCCTCTCGGGGGATCAGGAAGGAATTTTTTTCCCTGCAGGAGCAAATTGGATCATGCTTTGCTGGGTTATTTTTTTTGCCTTCCTCTGGATCAACTGTGGGTATAGGATTATAACTTTTTTTTTTTAAATGGTTGAACTGGATGGACTTTTGTCTTTTTTCAGACAGACTAACTATGTAACTATGTAACCTATATGGTGTCCATGCCACTGGCTGCTAGAAATGTTCTCATTCACAGGAGGTTCAGGTGCCTTCATGAAGATGAAGGGGATGGGTTTTGGCAGACTAACAGGAAATAATGGCTCAGAACAAACCACCTGGTCTTCAGGAAAGAACAACCTCACCTGCACAGTGCCTGGAGCATTTCTGTAGCCTCTGCACCAGTCCTGGAGAGGCTGACATAATGAGGTTGGTTTAATAAAGGAAAACAGGCTGTTCACTTTGCAGGGGAATGTTCCCCAGAGCTTGAAGAATTCAGTGCAATACTTGCAAAGTATGCAAAAAATACAAAGTCAAGTGCAAGAAACATTTTTAAAAACAGTATTTTGCATATGATTGCATGATAGCAGTTTAACAGACCTTCATCTCATTCACTAAGCTCTGGAGATAATTTCCTCGCAAAGTCAAAAGTCTATTTGCCTTTAGCAAATCAACCCCACTGTATCAAAGCTTTCCCCTTCTGCAGATTCATGATAATAGCAAGTGCAACAGGCAGTGGTCTAATCAAAAACACTATTTTTACTCCAATCAGACATTTCTAGCCTTCCAACCAGTTGGCCAAACCCAAGCTAGAGTCTCTCACAGTCTAAACTCTGTCCATGACTATATCCTTGGACCTTTTTTCAATATATATTATATATATGTGTGTGTGTATTTTCGTGACAGGCATCAATAATTTGTCCTTTGGGCAAAATTTATACTTCCCTGTGGAGTTTGTGCAACGGTGGAAAATAGCTTAGGATAAGCCTATCAGTTTATAAACTGCTGTTTCCTGAACAATGTGCCTCTTGCACATCTAGGTTTACAGATCTGACAGGCAAACATAGATTATGATCATGTCTACTATAATACATTTTACAAAGCTTAACGTAGTAGTAAACGTTTCTGCGTGTTTTAGTTTAACACATTGAGCACAATAAGACAAACATTCCTCATTAAAGTATTTGTTAAAATTCTTATCCTAGCACTTGCAATTTACA